TTCCCAAGCTGCTTTTTATCCATTGTGACCAAGGAATAACTGGCGCATTTTCCCCTTTCCTTGTTCTATTTCCTTTAACCAAAATAAATAAAAGAAAATAATAAACCCAAAAGCTTGTTCTTTGCTCCCTTACTTTTGAATCTATTAGGGGCTGTTTTTGCAAGTGCAACTTGCCACCGTCCAGCGTAGGGTCTTTTGGAAAGTTTTGGCAATACCTGATGGGGCCAAAATGAGTTGTGCAGGGGTGACTGGGAGCATGGAGTTAACTTCCCATCATGCAGTGTTCTCCATCCCGTAATTTAATCTGCATCCCATAATATTTTGCACCTTCTTTTCAAAATCCCCACAAACCTGCATGTCCTTCCTTGCTGCAGCTGCACCAGTGTAACGCTTCAGTGTAGACACTCACTACGTGATGGGAGGGGTACTCCTGTTGCTGTAGTTACTTCACCTCCCTGAGAGGTGGAGCTAGGTCAGCGGAAGAATTGTTCTGTCCACCTAGCTCTGTCTACACTGGGGATGAGGTAGACACAGCTACATCACTGCAGGCACTGGATTTTTCCACACTCAACGTAGCTATCCTGATGTAAGCTTCCAGTGTAAACCAGCCCTTAATCCCAAAGAAAGACTGTGCAGTAAGGTATTGTGTGGATTATAGAAAATTTAATGTGGTTACAGTCTCCAATGCTTACCCCATCTTTCATGTGGATGATAAATTAGATAAATGGAGCAGACCTAACTATTTAACTACTGTAAATTTAACTAAGGGATACTGACAAATTCCCTTGGAAACTGAGTCACAGAAAAAAAGTCCACCTTCATTACTGATTGTGGACTTTTTGAGTTTCAGGCACCACCCTTTGTATTGATTAATGCAGGGGCCACATTCCAGAGGCTGGTTAATCAGGTACTACAAAGGGTTCCAGGATTTTGCTCTCAGCTACGTTGATGATATTGCTATATTTAGCAGTCCTTGTGAGGAACACACAACACATGTGGGGAAGGTATTGAAAAGCCTCAGGGAGGCACGACTCACAGTCAAGGGGTCAAAGCATACAGAAGTGGCAGCAGAGATCCTTGACCTGGGTCACTGGGTGGGTGGAGGCCAAGTCCACCCAGATCCCCTGAAAATTGAAGTTATTTGAATTGGCCTGTCTCCAAAACTAAGAAAGAGGTTCAATCTTTTATAGGTCTGGCTAACTATTATCAAAAATGTGTGAGGTTTCAGTGACGCTGGTCCTTCTATCACAGATCTATGCCAGAAAACAAAACCAGAAAAAGTGGTTTGGTCAAATGCCTGTCAAAAGGGTTTGTTACAGTGAAGCAAATTTTATCAGACACACCCCTTTTAGCCAGTACAGATTTTAACAAAATGTTTGAATTGTGCACCGATGCATGCAACAGGGGTCTTGGAGCTGCACTAATGCAAACCGGGGAGGATAACAAGAAACGCTCCATTGCATTTCTGAGCAAAAACTGTCTCCTGCTGAACAAAATTACTCTAACAGAAAAAGAGTGTTTCTCCTGTGAAACAACTCAGAAGGTACATGTTCAATAGGCAGTGGAGGGTATTAACAGACCGCTCACCATTATTGTGGCTCCATAGAACAAAAGGAACCAACTCCAGATTGCTACGCTGGAGTGGAGCATAGCTTTGCAGGAGTATATGGAGATTAAACATATTGTGGGATTGGAGAACAAGGTAGCTGATGCCCTATCCAGAAAAGAGGGCACAGAGGTGAAGTTTACACCATGGCCAGTGGCCAAAACTCCAGCATCAAACTCACAAGGTGAGGGAGGTTGTGACAATAAGGATCCAGACACCCCAAGGGGAGAACAAGAGGTCTGAACCCCCAAAAATAAGCACTAGAATCAACTGGCAGCATACAATGTTATTGTGTATAAACATATGTCAGGCAAAGCCTTTTATGAATGTTTGTAATATTCTGAATTTGATGGTCATGTGGAGATATGTAGACAGGTTATGGTTATGAATGTATGCCTATACAATTGTAATTGTAACTGTGGTGCAACTACAGCAACAACTCACAACAGGGAGTGAAATAATTAGGCAGGGCTTACAGGAAACCAAATTCAAATACCCACCCTCCCCTTTGTCCTGCCAGGAAGACACAGTGGTGGATTATTAAAGTTAATGGAAAGACATTGAAACTGAAAAGGAAAGAAACTCCTAAGGCTGGTATATGCTGAAAACATTGGCCTAGCTATGTCTCTCAGGGGAGAGACGTAGCTATGGTGACTTAACTCCTGGTTAAGACAGCACTACGACTATGCTGTCTACACTACCACTTATGCCAGCAAAACTTGTGAAAGGGAAAGAACACTCATTTCCTTTCCAAGTACACACACACCAACTGTGGCTTTCATAAGTCAGCATATATGAAGCTGTGAATGTCTTTAATGTCCCCCAAGTGGAGTGGTGGGGGCAGTGCACCAACCCCTGATGCCACATGGAATGCTGAGGGGGGTATAGGGACGTCCCGATATTGAGTTCTCTCTGGGCAGCAGAGGGAGGCAAGCATGGGATTGTTGAACCTGCAGATCTACCAGAGTCTGCAGCATTTCTGTTTGCTGTCTGAGAAGCACAAGCATCTCCTGTTGTGTGTGCTTCTCCTTTTCCTGCGCCTTTCTCCTCTCCACTTTATCCTTCTCATGCTGTCTGCAAGGGTCATCCTCCAGGCCTTGTGCCCATTCTCTGAGGCAGCAGAACACATCATTCCGAGTCCTCTTCTTTCCTCTCCTTGTCTGGTTCAGGCATTCTGCGGATGTGGAGGGGGACACCCTGAAGGCCACAATACCAGCAGCTGAAGATACAGCATGCAGAGGTACCATTGTCAGTGTATTCATGACGGAAAGCAAAACTTAAGATACTGAACTCACTCCCCTTGATCCTCCAAAGTTGTAATAACGACATTCTCATTTCTGGTAGGGACTGATGGAGCACAGCGCCAGTCACAGCACCAACCATGGTGAGTATGGTCCTGGGGGAGGAGGTTGGGGAAATGAGTGGGGAATAGCTAGCTGGCATGAGTCTAGTTGTATAGGGCAATGGAATTGAATACTGGCACCATTTTCCACAGACAGTGGTTATTTTAGCTGATAACTCACTGCTGAAGGTAACAGGAGCAGAGATAGCACAGCTGCTGTTGGCGTCCTGGTGCCGCTCAGGTCTGTTTGCTACTAGCCTGTGTACTGCAATGTACTGCTGAAGTAATCGCTGAGTAGCATGGGAAAATGCCCTACCGTGGTGGAAGAAATAAAGATGCCTGCCCCAGAACCCTTCAGCAAAGGATTGCAGAGTACCTCCATGAAAGTTTCATCGAGATCTCTAAGGAAGATTCACAGGACATCCTAGTGCACATAAACATACTGCTCCGTGCAACCCCCTCTGCCTAACTCTAGAGGGGAATGAAAAGCAGATAGCAACTCTACCTCTCTTGGTTGTTCCACTCCCTCTTCTAGCATAAGTACAAAAGAGTAAATCAACTCATGTGTCCTGCTACTTTGGGGGTTCCATCCCTGTAATCTCAAAACAAACTGCATATTTACCAGAGGTTCCTTCCCCTGCCTCATGCTCTACTGTCATGACTGGCTGGACTCCTCTTCTTCCTCGTCCACCTCCTCCTCGCTGTTCACGGCAGGGGCCTGTGACTCAGTGTGACAGTCTGTACCCCCATGTTCACCCCTCTCATAGAATTGGTACAAATTCTTATGAGGTATCATTTGAAAATTTGTGATTTGCTGATCATCATTGTCCTGGTAAAATATGTGTGGCACCATTATATGTACAGTTATGACATTCCACTGTGTGATGTTCCCCAGACATGTTACAACATGTTCTGGAGGGCAGCCACAAACCAGTTCCCCAGAGACAAAAGGCTAGCCAATGCCTCAGTCAGGTGTCAACGGTATCAAGTGGACTATCAGCTGGTTCAGTGGCCACTCTTCAGCAGGAGAGAGGGGGTGGGCAAAAATCTACATCTTGGACAAAGAAACAGATTGAAGTTCTTGTCCACGCAGACTTTTTGTCTCCTGGACGTCAGCTTCAGATGATTCTAGCACAAGAGAAAGGGCTATAAGAGGAGAGGGCAGATGTCTCAAATTATCTCTCCCTTTCTCTCTCCCAACGGCATCAACAACACTTGAAGAAGAAAGGAAGCAGCATTGAACTGGGGAGAGATCCCGACTGAAGGATTAAGCCAGTAAGACTGTTGGAACTTGTGGGGAGCGAGACCTTTGCTTTGAATTCACTTAGCTTGTTAACGCAGGGATTACCTCTGTTTTACCTTTTATTTTCGTGTAACCAATTCTGATTTTGTATGATATTACTTGTAATCACTTAAGATCTATCGTTCTACAGTTAATAAATTCGTTTTATCTATACCAGTGTGTTGGGATTGAAGTGTTTGGGAAACTTCATTTGGGATAACAAGAGACATGCATATAATTTTTTATTAATAAAATAACAGACTTTATGTGAGTGTGTATTCTCCAGGAGGGAGCTGGGCAGTATGAGATGCACATTTATGGGAGAAAGCCTGGGACTGGTGTCACTCTGCAGTGTAATTCATGAATGGATGGCTATTGCACTTATACAGTATAAGTGGGAGTGATTTACATGCTGTAGGCTGAAGATACAGCGTGCATGTGTGAACAGGCCAAGAGTGGTTGCTCTCACAGTAAAGAAGTGTAAAAGGCACCCCAGGCTGGAGAATTGAGGGGACACGGCTGTCCAACAGTCTAGATTGTACCCTTGGGAAAGTCAAACTCGGGCTCCTTGGAAGTATCCAGGGTTCTCTTGGGGGGCGGAGGGGTCTCCACCAAGGATGGCACATAGCTCTTTGAAAACACAGCAAGCCTGCGGTTCAACACTAGATCGACTGTTGGCCTCCCTGGCCTTCTGGTACTCCTGCTGCAGCTCCTTGGCTTTCATGCAGCACTGCCGATGGTCCTTGTTGTACTCCTTCTCCTGCATCCCCCGAGCAGTCTGCTTGTAGATGTCCACATTTCTATGGCTGGTTCAGAGCTGTTCCTGCACAGCCACTTCTCTCCACAGGCCCAAGAGATCCACCACCTCCTGTCTATTCCAGGCTGGAGCACATCTGCAGCGTGTAGCCATCATGATCATCATGCACACAACAATGGAGAGCCCCACCCCAGATCCCACACCCCTAGCCGGAGCCCTCACCCCCCCCCCCCATTCCCCAACCCCCTGCCCTGGCCCTGATCCCCCTCCAAACCCCTCGGTCCCAGCCTAGAGCAACTTCCTGCACCCCAACCCCCTCATCCCCAGCCCCACCCCAGAGCCCACACCCCCAGCCGCAGCTCTCACCCCCTTCCCGCACCCCATCCCCCTGTCCCAGATCAGTGAAAATGAGCGAGTGAGTAAGGGTGGGGAGAGTGTGCGACAGAGGGAGGGGGAATGCAGTGAGCGGGGGCAGGGCCTCAGAGAAGGGGTGGGGGCAGAGCCTCGGGGGAGGAGCGGGTGTGGTAAGGGTGTTTGGTTTTGTGCAAGTAGAAAGTTGGCACAGTTCAGCTGATCAGCTCCACCATCTCCTCCTGCTGTGCTGGGACAGTGCAACTGATGGGGACAGGGACCAAGGCTGCATGTCCACAGGCTCCTAGCAATATCAGGGAAGGATGCAGGAGGAGAGTGCCTTTATGGGAGCAGCCATGCCAAGAGTGGACAACCCCATGGCATGGCAGCAGAGCGGCTGCCAGACCTGACTACAAGCACCACAGACTTGGTGGTGAACAGAAGGAGACATCAGGGTACAAAAATAAGCATTCCTGGGTGAAGGGAGAGAGGAAAGCGAGACTTGGAGGGAAAAGGGGAATGGGCAGGAAAGGAATAAACGTTAAGGGAGAAATTGAATGGAGAGGGAGAAAGAAGGGTTAGAGCAAAGGGTGGGAGGGAGAGAAAGGGCCTTTTATTCTAGGCTGGCTTCAGTGAGTCATGACCCAGACTCCTCAGGGGCAGATGTCTCACTGCAGCCAGTTTGGAATTAGACCCAGTGCTCACTGTTCTTACCACAGCCACCCAGAACTATATTCTTGATCCTCTGCCCTGACCAACAGCATACATGGTGCACTCCTGAGTGTTATGTTCCCGGCATTCACAGAGAAGTTAGATAAAAACACACCCTTGTCAGAAGGTTTCAAAGTAACTATTAGTCTATAGGCCTGTTTTTTGGCTTGAGATAGAATTTGGGGTTTGATTTTTGATACTTTTACATCCTTACTAATATGTGTGAACAAAAAGAAAGACACTGGGTGTTACAGCTGCCCACAAGCAGATCGGGTGAAAAGAGATAAGAGATAGAGCTAAAGTATTGCTGGGTAGAGTGGGAGTTTAATATACGAGAGCATACTTGAAGGACAGTCCTGCCTCAGCTCCTCTCCCGAGATAAGGTCAAGCAACCAGTCGAGAGGGGCAAGGGGGATTGGGGAAGGTATAAGAAACATAGGCACCGACTCCGTGGAAAAATTGGTGGGGGCAGAACAGCCAAGCTCCCCGCCCCGCCCCCCCTGCCCCAGCTCACTTCCACCTCCTCCCCTGAGCGCGCTGCGTTCCCACTTCTCCTCTCAGCACTTGCCACCGCAAAACAGTTGTTTCGTGGCGTAACAAGCTGTGGGAGGGAGCGGAGAGGAGCAGGAACGTGGCGTGTTCAGGGGAGGAGGCGGGAAAGAGGCGGGGCCGGGGTGGGGATTTGGGGAAGGAGTCCAATAGGGGTAGGGAGGGGGCGGAGTTGGGGCAGGAACTTTGGGGAAGGGGTTGGAATGGGGGCGGGAGGAGGCGGGGCAGGGGTGGAGTCAGGCTGGGGGTCAGGGGGGTTGAGCACCCACCGGTGCCAGGAGAAGTTGGCGCCTATGATAAGAAACACTAAGGCCAAAGAAATGCCTGTCCCTGACCGAAGCATAACCTCACTCCTTACCCCTCCCATGGGATACAGATGCCCCCAGATTCACAACCCTCCAAAACAGAAGATAACCATAAATTGTAAGGGGTGGGATCAAGGGTGTGCTAAGCTAATTATGCCTGCTAAGGAAGGGAAAGGAGGACACTGGGAAGGCTATGGGAGGGGGGGTCAGAGCTATGGATATGCTTGCTTGATTAACCCCAATAAATATTGCATTGCCTGCACTTTGGACTTCTGGTCTTCTGCTTTCTGTCTGCATGACAAGAACCAGGGGAGGGAGAAGGGAAACCCCTTAACAGTTGCACTACTTCATTTCTTAGGATTCAGAACAATAACACACAAGAACCAAAAACAGAGAGAGACAAAGCAGGCTGCTCCCTAAAATAGGTAGCCACAACTCCATCCACCTTACTCTAAGTTGACTGGCTGCAGTTTGACTCTGATCACTTGCTTCCCTGCAGAGCCCCCTAGCTTGCAAGCCGGACCAGGAAAACCCCAGTGAATTTAAAGTTTAAAATTTAGCAGTTTCGGCAAAGCCTTTGTAGTATAGACTAGCCTTATGTCACAAAGCCTAGTGAGCTACAAGTTGCACAGAAACCAACCTGCCAGTGTACAAGGTGGAGCTAAGAGTGTGTGGGGTTCAAACTTGTTCTTTGCATGGTGGAGCTCAAATAATGTGACCATCTGTGGGGACAGGGCCCTTAAAATCCACAAGGCACAAAGAACTGCAGAAAGGCAGCTGGGCTTGAGGAAAGAAGGAGAGAGGAGGAAGGAGAAGAAGTCCAAATAGTCCAGGGAAAACTTCAAACTAATAGGGGAAGGAAGGTTGTAAACCGCAGCTCTGTCCATTTATCTCATCTGTTTACTAGGGACTATTTTCCACAGAAGCAGGCTACATTTCATTAACCTTCCCAATCATAATTAAATTATACCCCAAAGTCAATAGTCCGCACTATAGGGTGCACTAGTCAGTCATTGTTTGCCTTCAGTCCAAACGTCACAGCTCACCCCCCTGTCTAATGGCCAGAAACTCTCACCTTGCCAAAGGTCCGTTCCAACCATCATGGTTGCCCGCCCCCCACCCCTCCTTTCTTGAGCCAAATCCATACCCTGGCTCAGAGCTTTCAGTCAGTTACAGTGACAGGGGCAGGCTGCGAAGTTTGGATCTATAGAGGAAAAATGTGACATTTGTGGAAGTGAGTTGGGGGGATGCAGTTCACGGAAGCCCAAATTAAACAATGTCCTGCTAGAGCTATAATCCTTGGCATTTCATCAGCACTTCCCATCCAAGGATTGTACAATGCTTTATAAATGTTAATTCATTTAGACTCAGTCTCCCCCCTGTGAGGGAAGTAAGTATCATTACCCCATTTTATAGGTAGGAAAAGGGAGAGAGGGGAAGTGACTAAACCAAGCAAGTTAATGGTAGATCTAGGAATAGAAGCCAGATCTCTGGATTCCCAGTCCTGGGTTCTGACCACACAGCCACTCCTCCTCTTTATGGGCTTATAGGAGTTCAAACTGCACTAGTAAGTGTTCTCCTGTCTTCAGGGCATTCTCTGTTGCTACCAGGCTGAATACAGGCACAGTGGCCCAGATCCTCAAAAGTATTTAAGCACCTAACTCCCATTGCTTTTTAGGCACCTTAAATACCTTTGAGGATCTGGGCCAGCAATACCAAGGGATTAATATTTGTAGGCAAGCTGCACCTGTTATAGTTACCCACCAGATGGCACTGCAAGAACAACAACATCTCAGAGGCTTTATGTGCATTTACTTGGCACTGGTATTAAATGGTTCACTGTTGCCAAGATTAATCACAATGATTATAAATGTTCTGCACCGATCCTTCTCTTCTGCCCCAGCTGTATAGCTGAGTAGGCTGTATGCACATTCACTCTTTCCCTTCTGAATCCTCCTGTATTTTCCCCCTATACTCTGGGCAGAGCATGTGCCACTATCCCCAGTTGCCGATTTTCTTAGGCAAATGTAGCTGCCTCCACGTGTTACAGCTGACAGTGGTGCTACACAACAGTTCAGGACAGGAAGTGAAGAAGAAAGCCATCTCCAGTTACAATGGAAATGGGGGACTGAAGTAAACTAAAGTCTGGAATTTCCCATGCAGCCAAGGTTAACACCCCACCTTTTATTAAACACGCTGTGGGACTTTTCATGACAAGGGGTCAGCTCCCCAGTTTTAGATTTCATCCAGAATATGTCACCTCCAAACCACAGTGCCCCCCATGCCACACTGGGGCACTGAGGTTAGTATTGACACAAAGGGAAACGCACACCCCTCACTACAGCATAGCCCCCCTCCTGCCATGCTTGAACGTTGGGCTCAGTACTGGCACAGAGAGCAGAACATCAAACCCTGCAGAACAGCGCTCCCTGGCACCAGCCCTAGGCATTGGGGGTCAGTGCTGACACAGCCAGAAGAGCACCTTCTCCTGAGTCATCCTCACCACGCCCTGCAGCCCAGCCCTTCCTGACATTGACCTTGGGCATCGGGGGCAGTGATGACTCAGAGGGTAAAGTGCCCCCTTGTGAGTCACTCACACCACTCCCTGCAGCACGTAGGCTTATTTGTATTAGACTAGGCCTCCAATGACACTTTAATTTGTTTTTAAAGTAACAGCAGGCTGTCCCCTTCCACTCTGCTGGTTAGTTCCTAGCAGAAGGGTAGAATCAGCAGAGACACTGGTAGAAACTGTTTCTCTGTTGAATATATTGCTTGTTACATTTCTCTAGCTGGCTTTATTTCCCCTTTTGCCTACAGAAAGTCTCTCTTGGGCAGGTGCCTATCAACTTCTAGCCTCTTGGCAGGGGGTTAGACTAGGTGACCATGCGGCCCCTTCTAGCTCTATGGTTCGGTGATTCTAAGGTTTTCAGAAACACTCAAGTTCCATTTCCAGACATGACTAAGGCCTGGTCAGCACCCACATTTTACACCAGCATAAGTATTTCAGTTCAGGGTGCAATTTTGTAACCTCAATAGTTTAGTTTAGTTTAGCCTAGCCTTAACCGCATTAGCTTTCAAGGATACTTAAGTATCTAAGGGCTTGTCTACAGCCAAGAGTTATACTGCCTTAACTATACCAATCTAGTTAAGGTGATACAACTGTGCTACCACTAGGGGGGGTTGTATCAGTATCATTTATGCCCTTTCCAACATGGGAATT